TGTGCCCTGCTAGTGTTTTTGATACGCAGGTAGAGAGAGGCTAGAAAATGGGAGGGGGGTGGGAGGCAGCTGAGTGGGGCTGCAGAAATTCGGGAAGGTGTGAGTGTGAGCGTGTGTAAATGTGTGCACGAAAGGGGGTACCCCCTCTTGACTTCTTGTGACACGATTCCTTCTGGGGTGCTTGCCCCATGTGTCCCCCAGAGAGGCCTCTAGTTAAGTTGCTATGAGACTTCAGGTGGGATAGATTACCAACATCCCCCAGTTCTTGACTAAGAGCTTCAGGTTGCTGGGTTCAAGAACATGGGTGGGATATGGAAATATTATTTCAATACTTAGCTTTAGTTTTCATTCATCTTCCTGCTCAGCAGTGTGTCCGCCAAGAGCTTCCTCTGTGAGCAGCACATGTTGTGGATCTTCTAGTGAGAGACCAAACTCCCATGTGATTAGAAAATGCTTCTCTTCCATTTCCTCACCGGCAGTGCTCCATTGGAAGTTCTGTCCAGAGATTTTCTCTTTGTCTCCCAGTCCCCTGTTAGTCTCCCTGTCTAGTCAGGATGCACCCCTCTGCTGCACAGTACCTTGGACCCCTAGGCTGTAGTGGGGAGAGGCCGACTGGAGAGGCGTGTGCTTGCCCATAATGCTCTTCCTCTTGGCACCTGCTTCCTGGTGGCGCCAATCAGCAGATTTGTGTGTGGCAATGGGTGAAGTGATTGAGTGACCTTTTCCGATAACCCACTAACTTTTCATTGTTCTCATTAGGGTAGTATGAGAAAGCTTTGTCTCTATATTAACTAGAGCCCAAAGAAATTCCCTTGGAGCAAGATTATGTTTGAGTTTCCTGAGGCAGAGGTTGCTGCCCCTTGTCAGATGTTTGGTGGTCCATCAGAGAGCATCTTTTTATAGGCCCTGGCAAGGGGGCATACTAGGATCCGCAAAGGAAAGAGAAAGTTTAGCACCTTGGGTTCTGTGGGAGGTACTTCCTATTCATTTATGACACTGGAAAGTCATGTCTTTTTTAAAAAAAAAAAAAAAAGAAAAAAAAAAACTTTTTCTAGGTTGGTAGAGAAGGAACCTGCCACATCCTTGTTGCTTCAAGACCCAGAGCTCACTGACAACAACAGTAAATGTCTGGGTTCTGTTTCTGTCTGTCCTTTATTATGGAAAACAATAAAAAAGCCAATGTTGAGGGGCGGGGCGGGAGGGGGAGGATATGGATTATGGTAACAGAAGGGAATCCCTAGCCTTGTTTTCTGTAGAAGACTTGTTCAGTGTTTATCAGATGTCTGTTGTAGCTGTTGTTGATGGAAAAGCTTGTGAGAAAAAACAAACACATGAAGCTTGTAAATGTTTTTACAAAAACCTGTAAAGCATTCTTGGAAGTGGCCAGTAAAAAAGGGGTTTTACCATTAAAAAAATGTAATGTGTCATTGTTTACATGTGTAACTCCTCCCCCCGCCCCCTTCTCATTACACCACTCGATGAAAATGTAGGCACCCTAGTTTCTAGTTTTAGAATAAAGAAGCATTTGGATTGAATTCACCCTCCCTCCTGTGCTGCACTGACTGGGGGACTGATTGGTAGATTTCTTTCCCTGCTGCTTTGTCAGGTTGCACTGGGTCCAGCCAAGTCGGCTTCCCTCTTGCATGGTTTTTACTATGCTCACTCGGGAGGTGCAGGCATTGGGTTGTTGGTTTATTTAGTGTTTCCTTATGCTGAGTTTGAGCCACTGGAGTAGAAGGCAATATAGACCTCATGACCTCTGTATACTGGGCCTATGCTAAAACCCATTGGATGCTTGAAATGAATCATGTTCAGTGGCCATTGAGTCAGTAACGACTCATAGCAACCCCGTATAGCGTTTCCAGGGAGCACTTGGTAGGTTTGAACTGCCAACCTTATGGTTCGAAGTCCAGTGCTGATCTTAAAGCTCCACATCAGGAATTGTATGAACCTTATGAAATGAGTCCTAAGGTTCCATATACTGAGCAAAGGAAGTTTATTCATGAGTAGTAACTATGAGGAAAAGCGCACTCATTTAACAAAAGATCTGTGAGGAGGGTTATTTTTTAGTGGCATTGGAGAATGAGAAGGTGACTGGAAAGGCACTCTCTTTCTAGCATTGAATTGATCCTCACTGCAGTTTCTACCAAGTGCCCAGCACTTCTTAAGGCTGGATGCCACAAATTGTGTAGGGTAGTGGTAGGTTTAGATACTCCGCTCCGGTCTGTACATACCAGTTCTGATCCCAGGGACTTAGAGCTTTGACACCCTCAATAAAGGTGGTTCTTCATTATGGTGTCTACCCATTCTCCAGAACATTAAAAGTCACTACTGCTGTACATAAGGTCGCTATGGGTCGGTACCGACTTGATGGCACCTAACAACAACCACTCAGTATTGGAACTAATTCAGCATTTTTTAATGGTGGTTCATCAATCCTGGCTTGCCGCTAGTGGTTTCCAAGCCCCCTGTCCCACACAGCTCGAACTGGAGCCATTCACCCCTAACCTGATGGGAGTTCAAAGGTCTAGGAAAATCTAACAAGATAATTTGAGCTCACCTGGATTTTTACCAAGTCTTAGTTTCTGTAAAACTTTTCACTTCCATCCCAACATGAATGCAGTAGGAACAGGGAAGGTTTCGGCCCTGCTGTGCGCCATGCTGGCCTTTTTAAGCATGTTACAACACATTCCAGTGCCTGCTAGGTACAGACATTGTCAGGGTTTGGGGATTAAAACAGACCCGATCCTTTTTGAAGGATTCACAAGTGCTAAGAAAGAAATAAGCAGACCTCTGAATAGAATGGGGGGTAGGTCCTCACGCCAGGAGGGAAGCCAGGTGACTTCTTGTTAGGTGCAGTGGGTTCTGACTCAGCAACCTTATGCACAAGAGAACAAAACACTGCCCAGCCCTACGTCATCCTCACACTCACCAAGCTTGAGCCCATTGCTGTTGCCACCGGGGTAATCCAGCTCATTGGGGGTTTTACTCTAGAATGAGAGAGTGTATTGAGTAACCTGTTACAGGCTCTGAAACTCCATCAACAGCTGAAAAATTGCCACCCCTGAAGGTGCCCCAAGTTCACTAGGTACCCCTGGAACCCTATAGGAGCCTAAGTCAGTTCCTGGTAGAACACCCCTTTAATTTCCTTTGGTTTCCTCTAGGAAGCTGGGAATGATGTGCTATTCCTAATCTAGGTCACCCTCCTACTGCTGTAGTTGTTAAGTGCGTACGAGTTGATTCCGACCCATAGCGACCCTGTATAGGGTTTCCGAGGAGCAGCTGGTGAGCTTGAACCAACGACCTTGCGGTTCAGAGGGCTTTGTAGTCCAGGGCCACACCCAGGGCTGCTGCAGTGCTGCTTTTCCCCCACCCCCCAAATGACCCAGGCACAAGACATGAGCTGCTCTAGGCCTCTCTCCTGTATTTAGGAATCTCGATGACCCATGACTAGACAGTCTGGGGTAGTTAACCTCCTCCTCGGCCATGGCCATGACCCCACTTCTGTTTACATAGACCCTTGGAAGGAAAAGTCTAGAAGGCATTCTAGGGCTCTTAAGCTTCTGCCAAGCTTCAGATACCAGGAAGCGCTCAAGAGCCGGCTTAGTTTTGGTCCTTGGCCTGGTGACATACTTACCCCCCGCCAGGGGTGGGAACACTGCTTGTGACAGATGTGGCCCAATCTGCCTGAATGGGGAAAGGAAGCATAGCAAGCCTGAGTTTTACCAGGAAACCTTATCCAGCTCCGGAGGCGACCAGTACCTAGTCACTAAGGCGACTAAGAAGGGCGCCCCAGGCGAACGGGGCCGGTAGTGGAAGGCAGTTTCCACATTCCAGAAGATGATCTTTTCAAAGGTAGCCTCCTACTTGGCAAGTTGTAGAAACCTCGGTTACCTCAAGATCCACGCTCCCAATGCCTCACCCACAGTGCTTCTGGGAGTCTCTTGCCCCAACAGCCTTCGTTTTAATCTTGTTCCTGCCTTCAGCTGGATCGGGAGACGTTAGCTTCCAGGCTCCGGGGTGGAGTGGGGTATCGATTTAGCGAGAGGAGAGGCAGCCATTTTGAGACCAGACTGGGACACAGAAAGGACCATATTGGGAACTCCGAATGCCTGGGGGCCGCCATTTTAAGAATGGGGCCGGCGAAATCGTTCTGTACGGTAAAACGCTGTGATATGAAGGCGGCCATATTGGTACGAGCCTCATGATAGCAGCCATATTGGAAAACGAACTGCTGTGGGCGCGGCCATCTTAGTAACAAAACCGGCCCCTTTCACAGTAATCCGAGCCAAACTCCTCCTCTCAATTACTACAGCTGAAAGTTTCTCCGGTCTGCGATTGCCTCCCCGAGTCCCTCCCTAAATCTACCCCGTACGGTCTGTTTTCATTTTTATTTGCTTATTATGTGTGTGTGAATGCTCTAACTTAATTCTTCCACTTGACACGCTCCCTCTCGCCCGCCGTACTCCCCACCTCCCCGATCTCTGAACGTCTAAACCTGCTTTGACTAGCGTAGTTCCCAGGATATGGCACGCCTCTCATCTGCCGCACCCACCTCCAAATCTATTGACTGATGACCCAACCCCCCAAGAACACTAACACGGGAGCTGGCCTCTGAGACTCCGGATGACTTTATTCAAATGGCTTTACCCTTCCAATAGCTTCAGGTGAGACAGAGCAAGCCGCCCCCCAGCCCATCCCTCTCGCCAGAGTGGCGGGTCCCAGAGGGAAGCGGGCAAGACACCGGCAGAGTCTGACAGGGGTCCTTCTGTTGAGTTATGCAAAGGGTGCCCCAGTCACGGGTGCTTGGGTTTGGCCGCGGTCGGGGAGGAAATGGGACCGACAGAAGTGAGGAAGGGCCTTGTGCTTCGGATAGCAGGGTTGAGCCACGGGGTAGGGGTGGGATGCAGGGAGCCTGGTTGGAAGGGTGGGGTGGGGGCCCTCAGGACAGTAACTGATTTAGGGAAAGGCCCAGGATTGGGAAGGGGGCACAGGGCAGCTCAGAGGAGGGCACAGAAGAACTTTTTCTCCCGAAAGGGGTTCTCCGAAGTGGGCACGGGGGTGATGAGGGGGTCTTCACAGGCGTGGGCATCACAGTAAGTCATCAGGTCTGCTGCCGCCTTGGATACCTGGGACAGAGCCAGGAGGGGGTAGTTAGCCAAAACGTCTGAAGGGACGGCAGTCTCCCCAAATGGGATCTCTTTGGCCATTTCTAGGGCTCAAGACAGTCTTCTCTTCCCTGGTCCCCAACAAAAGCCTGGGACAGCTCTGAGACGCCTGTCCTGAGCTCAGGAAGTCAAGGGGGGAAAGCATCTTAGTCTGAGGTTGGGGAAACTACAGCAAGGCCTGGCCAATTAATGACATCGAGGGTCCCACCCACCTTTATCCGGCACAAACTGGCTTCAATCTTCAGCTGCTCCACCATCTTGCGGGCTTGCCCGATGCTCATAGTGCTGTTAACAGGGGTCTCCCCTTTCATCCTGGAGAGAAAAGGGGGGCAGCTGAGAGCGCCATAGGAGGGTTCTGCCTGGGGCCAGCAGAAGGCCACTCCATGCTGACTCTTCACCAACCTTTCTAGGGTGACTGCCAGGTGCCCCAATATTTTGTCCTCTTATACTCACCCTCCTCCAGTGGCTCTTCCCATCCCTGAGGGATGGCTGAGGAACCAAGGGTGGGACTAGATGCTGTCCAAATTCTCACATGGCCTGAGCCACAGATATTAATACAAATGATCTAAGGCTTACAGCCCTTCAAATCATGTGTGTTCCCAGCTCTGACATTCTCAACCCGAGTGAACCCCACTCTGATAAGGTAGGTACATCCCCCCACCTGTCCCCTCCCTACTAACCTGAGACGACAGGCGGCGGCAGCTCTAGGGTATAGGGGTCAGTGGGGCGCACCAACACCTTCTTGCCTGATGCGTGCCCCACCCTGCCGGGCGTTGCAGCTGCAAGTATCTGACGCAGTAGCAGAGAGCCACTGGGAATGGTCAGGTCGAAGGTCTGTGGAGGGCTGGTGTCCGTTTTTTTTTACAGCTCAAGCACTGCCCGGATGGCTGGTACCTGACAGATGAAGGATGCTCGGAGCCGCTCAGATCCTGGAGCATACCAACTGTCTGGCCAGTGGGGGAGCCTGAATGCCGCCTGCAGCCCCCGCGCGCACCCCCACCGTTACACGTTACTGTCTCACTGCCGGCCCCTCCCCCATTGCAGGCATCCCGAGTCCCGGCTACAGCCCTCCCAAAGGAGCTGGAAGGAACGGAGGCTAACGCCGACTCCCCCCTCAGATGAGGTGGTCTGGGCCCGTGACAGCCCTGCAGTGGAGTGGGCCGGCTGCAGGGGACCCTGCTCGTTTGAAAATCTGACATCAGCTGGGCAGTAGCCCCTCTCCTCCCCCTCCTGTGACACAGCATTTAGCACCTGAATCTTCACTGCCCCCCCAGGAGCCCTCCATTCCCCATATCCAGGAAAATGTGATGAGCTACAGGTATCAGCTGTGAGATCATTGCTTCACGTTCTAGCCACAAGTGATCGGAGTGGAAGGGGCAGTGACGGTGGAGGAAGGTGCGGAAGATGTCTAACGAAATGGCAGACCAGAGAGAAGAAGGGGAAGTCGGGGAAGAAGAGGTAGGTGTGTAGGGATCCGACAAAGAGGAGGTAGGGGGCCATGTGGGGAGGAGGGTCAGTGGGTGTTTGTGGAAGTAGGTGGGCTTCAGAGGGGGGACAGGTTTCCGTTCAAGGAATTTGGAACATTTTAAACAAATTATCTCCTAGGCCTGTAGCGTTGTGCTTGGTGCTGGCAGGAATACAAAACACTTGACCTCTAAAGGGTCTTATCTGGGTGATGACACATGCAAATCCACTGCCAGGGAGTCAGTCCAATTCATAGCCACCCTGCAGGGCAGAGTTGAACTACACCTTAGCGTTTCCAAGGCTGTAATCACTGGACCGCTAACCATAAGGGTGACGGTTCAAACCTACCAGGTGCTCCTTGGAAACTCCTATACAGGGTCGTTATGAGTCCAAACAGACTGGGCGACGCTTAAAAACAACAATCTTTTCGGAAGCTGACTGCCACATCTTTCTTCCGTGGCTAGTGGGTTCAAATCACCGGTCTTTCGGTTAGCCGCCCAGGACTTAATCACTACGCCACCAGCACTCCTTTCGCTGACACATACACGAAATATAAAAAAACGTCATCTGCCAAGACCTCGTGCAAATAATGTACTGTGGGGACTCCGAGGAAGTGAGAGGGCGTCTAGTTGGGGTCAGAGGCCTCAGATGGTGAACACGGGTAGGGGAAAGAACGCGGGCAGAAATGCTACCACTTTCCAGACTCGCGAGATGCGCGGCTGGTGCCAGCCCACTGCAACTCTGGACGAATGCTCTACTCCTTGGACGTCCGTGGGGTGGAGGAGCTAGCTGGGGTCCTTCGGGTGGAGAAGGTGTGGCCTCGTAGGGTGGGCTGAGGGGGCCCTGCTGGCTCAGAGCATGACTTGGGGCAGACGTCGGGACCTGCAGGGCGTCGTTTTTCCCGCTTTGAACATGGTAGTGGCTTCAGGGAAAGACTAATAGGCTAGGGACCCCGGTGCCCAGGTCGGCCCCGCCCACTGGGGGAGGCTCCGCCCCTAGGGCTACAAAGGCGGTCGGCAGAAAGGGGCGGGGCTTGGCGAGAGGCGGAAGTCCTGTGGTGGTTGCCCTGGCAGCGCTCGAGGCTGGTGAGTCGTCTGAATTGCAGCTGCCCGCGGGCGTTTTTCCTTGGTGGCGCGGTTAGGTGGGAGCTCTGGACAACAAGTCGTTGGCTGCAGGGAACCTTGGTCCGCGTGAGGCTCAGCCCCACGGCGGAGCGAGAGCAGAGGAGTCCCTCACGGGTCGGGAAGGAGAAAGTCCGGGGCTGGCAACTGTGAAGGTTCGACTGCTGAGTTTGAGTCGCTCATCTTCTCAGTGCATCACCTCGCCGTGTCCCAGCTCAATGGCCTGGCGTGTGTGAAAGCGATTTTGTAAGAATTTGGAAGGTGCTCATGCGCGATGTTATATATAGTTATGAAGGCGCATCAGACAGGCTTGTCCCAGGATCGGTGGTTGGAGGAGCTCAGGCACTAGGGGTGAAGAGACGAGGCTCACTGGCTCAGAAACAGCGGTTCTGAGAACGGCCATGTGAAACAATGGCTTTGCTTTGTCTTGCTATCTGCGTCCTCAAAAGCCAGTCCAGCAAGCTTGTCCTTTCCCCCCACCCCCACCCCCCTCTCTGTCTATTTCCAGGAACCACCAGCTGCGGCACCCCATGGCCAGGGGTGGCGTCCAGGTGGCAGAGCAGCTCGGAACGCAAGGGCTGAACCTGGAGGCAGGCCCCCTGCTCTGGCAGCCATGGTCAATGAGCCACCAGTACCTGCTTTACTATGGGCCCAGGAGGTGGGCTACGTCTTAGCAAGCCGAGCCCGCAAGCTGTTGCTGCAGTTCGGGGTACTCTTCTGCACCATCCTCCTCCTGCTCTGGGTGTCTGTGTTCCTCTATGGTTCCTTCTACTATTCCTACATGCCGACAGTCAGCCATCTCAGCCCCGTACATTTCTACTACAGGTGAGAGGTATCTTCTGGCCAAGTAGAGGAATCCTGAGAGCTCATTGATGCCAAGGGCCCTTAGAGGTTACTCAGCTCAGCCCTCTCATTTACTGATGAGGAAACTGGAGCCCAGTGTGCTAATTTGAGGGCTTACCTCTCACAGCCTGAGGCTAGGCCAGGTTGACCCAGAGGGCTCTAGGATGCTAGCTCGCTCTACCTCTGGTCATTACGTCCTGGTAACAAAGCACTTCTAGACTCATTGTGAGGGTCAGTTGTCTTTCAGCGGGATCAGGCTTCTCTTCTGCCTAGAATTTTGAGACCACTTGGGTCATCTAGGAACTAAACTGGCCTTCAGCAGGTGTGAGGAAAGCAGCAGTGTACTTTAATCATTAAGCTATCCCCACAGGCAACAGTGTGCAACACAAGAGAGATTATGGTGGGTAGGCTGAACTGCCCAGAACATCAGTTCCTTCCAATTTTATAGACTCTGCCCAATTCTCTCCCCATTTTTACTTTACGAGTGGCTATAGGACCATCTACAGGTGCTGGTAAAGGCATGATTATCAATGGTCCAGAGTTTGTTTTTTCTTTCCTATGTCAGGAGCTCTGGTAGTGTAGTGGTTACGAATCGGGCTGTGAACCTTAAGGTCAGTGGTTCGAAACTACCAGCCGCTCCGTGGGAGAAAAATGAGGCTTTCTACTCCCGTAAAGATTTATACCCTCGGAAACCCTGTACAGGGTCGCTATGGGTCGGAACCGACTCGACGGCACTTAACAAAACAAAACAAATGTCAGAATGTGTGTTCATAAATTATAGTTTCTAAAGAAGGCAGAGCTTCTTAATGTTTTAGGGGGCATGGTCTTATGGAAGCTATGGCCCTTCATGCTGTAAAAAATGTCTGTGTGTCTGTGTCTATGTGTAGGCACAAACACCTCAAGTGTCATTTTGCCATTTGAGGGGTTCAGTGAGCTTCATGAAGGGTATCTGTAGATAGCCTTGAAGGAAAGTTTTCTCAAAAGACCAAAACTGCCGAATAAGAATCTCTGGGGTTGGAACCCAGGACTCTGTATTTTTATCAAGCTCCCCAAGTGATCTCTGGAATCCCCAAAGTTTGCATTTAATCAACAAGGAATCCACAGATTCCCATCTTAAGAATTTCTGCTCGAGTGCGAGGAAAACATTGAAGTTGCAAAAAGAGAAGGAAAAGGTCACTGTGGTCTCTTCTGGCGGCGTTTATTCTCCATCTGGCTCCAACAGAAGGGTGTCTGCTATAGGAGAAGGGATGGGGACAGGAGAGAGCCTGGGAGGAGGCCAAGGGGAAAGGGGAAGGCAGATACCAGAACAGCAGTGGTATCATCCTCCATTCTCATTTAGGACCGACTGTGAGCCCACCTCCTCCTCACTCTGCTCCTTTCCTGTTGCCAATGTCTCGCTGGCTAAGAGTGGACGTGATCGGGTGAGTAGAGGCTTCCGTAGACGTCTAGCTTTGAGGACTTGAGATAAGAGGCCTTGAGAAAGCTCTGAAGAGCAAGACTGAGTAATAGAGACAAGGGAGAAGGTTCTTAGGGAACAGGAGGGTGAAGAAGATAAAGTTTGTGGGTCTTTCCCAGGGAAGATGTTAGGAGTGTTGTTCTTGTATGTTTCCTCACCACTAGATGAGCTGACCAGGGTTCTTGAGACCCAATGGATGTCATTTCCCTAAGAGTTTTGAAAGCTTGTAGATGAAATTGTGAAACTGTTGACAAATATGTGTGACCTGTCTTTACAAAGGGTACTGTGTCAGAGGACTGGCCAGATGGCAGTGTAACTTCAATAGAAAGGGTCCCTGGGACCCTGAGAAATGCCGGCGGTGGGGACTCGTCCTTCTAGATCAGGCAAGCCCATGGAAACGCTGATAAAGGTAGCATTCCTCGACACTTGAAAAGGACTGTGGAGGACTTTTTTGAGCTGTCTGTCAGCAATGTGGAGTCCTGGTGTGGCGCTGCGGGCTAATACACTGAACTGCAAAGTCGTTTGAACTGCAAAGTCAGTGGTTCAAGCTCACCAGCTGCTCCTTGGAAACCCTAGACAGGGTCCGCTATGGGTCGGAATTGTCTTGACGGCACTGAACAACAACATCAGCAACATACTCAGAAGTAGTCAGTAGTGGCATTTGTTGTTGTTGTTAAGTGCCGTCGAGTCGGTTTCGACCCATAGCGACCCTGAATAGGGTTTCCGAGGCTGTAAATCTTTACCGGAGCAGAACGCCTCATCTTTCTCCCACGGAGCGGCTGGTAGTGTTGAACTGCTGACCTTCCGATTCGCAGCCCGATTCGTAACCACTACGCTACCAGAGCTCCTTCAGTAGTGACATTTAGGAAGATTTTTTTTTTTTTAATCTTTGGGAAGTTATTTTTCAAGACTAAATATTTGGTAACCAACAGACTTAAACAGTAACACTACAGGCTCACAGTTAGGACGTCTCCTCTGTAGGGGAGGATGTAAACTAGTCTCTGAGGCTCCCTGGGATAGCTGTGCACATTGGCCTTGTTTGTTAGTTTGTTAGTACAGGCAGTTCCTGCATCAGAAACAAGTTCTCTTTCCAAGCCTGTCTTTAGTAAGTCGAATCTGTACGTAAGCTGGAACAGTCAAGTACAGTTCATATCTAATATTGATTGCACAAATATTTGTCTCAGTAATGTGTCCTGTACCTTTCTGTACATAAACTCTATAGGGGAGTCCTGGTGTGGCACTCTGGCTTAATGTGTTGGACTGCAAAGTCAGTTTGAACCACAAGGTGGGTGATTCAAGCTCACCAGTCACTCCTCGGAAACCCTATACAGGGGCGCTCTGGGTCAGAACCGACTCAGTGGCACTTAACAACAACAACAAGCCCTTTAGATGGAGTCCTGGTGTGGCGCTGTGGGATAAAGCACTAGACCACAAGGTCAGTTTGAAAAAGAAGGTCAGCAGTTCAAACTCACCAGCCGCTCCGTGGAAACCCTATACAGGGTTGCTATGTGAGTCAGAAGGAGTCCTGGTGTGGCGCTGTGGGTTCATGTGCTGGACCACAGGGATGGCAGTTCAAGCTTACCAGCCTCTCCTTGGACCCCTGCTCCTCTATGGGAACTGACTAGACAGCACTTAACAACAAACACTTTAGATACACTAAAACATCTTTGGCATAACAATGCAGTAATGCTTCCATGGCACAGAGCCTCTAGAGGGCTCCTTGTCACTTAATAACAACATTTTCATGCTGTTCAAAAATGTTTTTAATTTTTAATTTTTAATAAAATAGGCTTTCCAGGGATTGGTTCATCGAATGATGAACTATTGGTTGTATGTAAATCAGACGTTCATGACTCAGGACTGTTGCAAGGTGATAGGGTGACTATACCGTGACATCGTGCTGTGGACCTCCAGTTAGCCACACACTATCAAGAAAAACCTAACCAGGAGGGATGAATGAGCCCCAAATGGCAGATTTGAGGGTCCCCAAGTGAAATGTCGTGTCTCTGAAGACACTGAGGCAATGTGCTTCCTGTGATTAAAGAGTAATTAATATTCATTGTAAGTGGGCTCTTTCCTGGTGTGGCACTGTGAGCTAATGCGCTGAACTGCAAGATCAGTTTGAACCACAAGGTCAATGGTTCAAGCTTACCAGTCACTCTTAGGAAACCGCATACAGGGTTGCTATGAGTTGGAACTGACTCTATGTCACTTAACAACAACAACAACAAAATTGGGCAAGGGGATTGGAAATGCCGTCACAAGACATTGTACCTGTGCTTGCAACTGTGTTGTTGCCCAATGGAGAGATGATAATGCTGATACAGGGAGCCGGGGAAGGGCCTGCTAGATGAGGAAAGGAGGAAAAGACTCTAGGGCGTGGGGGATTACAGCAGATTGAAACAATGAACACTTGAGAATGAATGAAGCAGTGTGGCTACGTGTAGAAGTAAAACACAAGGTCCCTGCAGTCAGAATAACAGACAACAACTATGCATGGCATTAAGGTGTAAGATGTAAATTCTGCATTCCAGCAGACTTTGCGGAGAACTGGAGAGATGCTCTGACACTATGGAAATGGAGAGGCTTAAAGTGGGTCTTTAAGGAAGCTGACTCTCGGGTAGGAATGGTGAAGAAGGGGGATAAACAGGAACAGAGGCAAGAACTCATTCAGAAGATTCCCTCAGATGAAATGATAATTAATTAAACAGAACTATCTTCTTTTATTTCTTCAAGTATTGTTATTGTAGTTGGTAAGGGCCGAGTCAGTTCCGATCCATAGCTACCCTGTATATGGTTTCTGTAGGAGTTCTGATAGCGCAGTGGTTACGAATCGGGCTGCGAGCCGCAAGGTCAGCAGTTTGAGACTACCAGCTGTTCCGCGGGAGAAAGATGAGGCTTTCTGCTCCCATAAAGATTTACAGCCTCGGAAACTGTGCAGGGTCACTATGAGTCGGAATCGACTCCATGGCACATAACAACAACAACAACATAAGGTTTCTGAGGAGTGGCTGGTGAGCTTGAAATGCTGACCTTGCCGGTCAAATGTCTTTGCAGTCCAGCGCATTGCATTAACCCACTGCGCCACACCAAGACTCCTTTTTCAAGTACATAACAGCTTTATTGAGATAAAATGATAAAATTAATCATGAGCCATGTCACAGTGGCAAATGAAGGGTCTAAATGTTTTATTGCATATACACCACTAAGGTCGACTCTACTTTGAGGAGGCAGTTGTCCCCCTAATTGTATTTTGAGTGCTTTCCAACTGGAAGGGCTCATTTTCCAGCACTATATTGCAAGATCAGCAGTTCAAATCCACCAGCTGCTCCTTGGAAACCCTATACAGGTTGCTATGAGTTATAGCCGACTCAAAGGCACTTAACAACAATAACAAACATGTCAGTGATCTACAGCTCTTCATTGGGTTTTAACTGGCCAGGTTTTTCACCTGTAGACTGCCACATGCATCCTTCCTGCTGGCCTGTCTTAGTCTGGAAGCACTGCTGAAACCTGTCTGTATGGGTGGTGCCTCTGGTGTTAGACCACAGCTTCCAGCATTGGAAATGGCTTCAATTCCAGAGTCACATCCGCACGCAAGCCACCGCAGCACAGCAAACTGCCTGATGCATGCTGGGAGTTGAAAATACATGGCAGCTTTGAGATAAAAGTCACATGTCGTACAATTCACTCATTTCAAGTGGTTTTCAGTATAGTCCCAGAGTTCTGCAACCATCACTACAATCAGTTTCAGAATGTTTCCTCACCACATGAAGAAAGCTTGTACCCATTCCGTGTCACCCCTCATGTGCCCCATCCTACCTCGAAAGCTCCCTCTTTCTTTTTTGGCAGTTTCTTTTTCATTTTTTTTGAACTTGTGTGTGTGAGCAGCTTATCGGTTTTTTTTGAACTTGTGTGTGTGAGCAGCTTATCGGTTTTCCATTCCACAATTGGTCCACACTTTGTTTCATCTCATTGACTGAAATACCCTGAATGTAACATCACTTGTTCCCACTTCCTCCCTGTGTTTTCCTGTCTCTATCCCTCCTTTTTCAACCCTTCTGAACTCTGTCCTTGAGTCATGGCTGCCCTTTTTGTTGTTGTTCCAACTGATAGGGACCCCATAGAGGGTTTCCACAGCACGCCTGGTGACTTTGAACTGCTGACCTGGCAGTCCAGTGCATTAGCCCACAGCGCTACACCAGGACTCCTATTTACTGTTTCAAAAAATTCCATGCAACAACTAAAGAATCATATAGCAGGAATCTTATTTTTTTTCTTTTTTTTCAAAAAAGGGAAGTTCAGACTGAAAAGGAGAATTTGCATCAAGAAAGGCCTTATTTGACCTGTGGCTTTCTACCTTTGTGCTGGTGATAAGCGCTCCCAGCATTCCCAGGGCCAGATCTTAGAGGCGGTTTTCACCATTTTTTTTTTTTAATTGTGAATTATGTGAGTTTACATGGGAGAACATCAGTTTTGCATTCATCCTTTCATTGCAATGATTACAATCCCCTCCATGCATCATCAAACAACCAAAGGGTACACCTCACAGGCCTGTCCCCTAGCCATCAGCACACAGCCCCTCTCCCTCCCTGATCCAGTGTCCCCAGCCGCTCCATTTGTCCCTGTCAGCATCTCTGTCTCCATTTCTGGCATCACTGCTTCTCTGGGTAGGGTCCCACACTCCGCTCTTCTCCCTTGATGGTCCCAGGGACCTCTTTTCCTGGACTGCAAAATCAACCACTCCCCTCCTTTTATTACAAAACATCTACCTTTAAATTTCTGACCCTCACAGTCAGTCCTGATAGCAATTATTCACTATATTATCTCCATCTCCTGTCATTAGCCCCATCCCAACAGGTTGGAAAAACCATTCAGTGACGATTCTACCTTCCCCTGCCTTGTCTGAAACTAGGCTCCCTCTTGAAAGCTTGTAAGTAAGCCAGTCACTTCTTGCCTTTGTAGCCTGCCTCCCCCCACAATTTTGGATAGCCAATGTCTAAGTTGCCCATCTCTGTCGACCTTGTGTACTTACTGATGGGGTGGGAGTGATCCTCACTGTTAAGATTTGTTCCCTCTTTTGAGCTACTACATCCATAAGTATACGTTGCTGTTGTGAAGTGCTGTCGAGTCAATTCTGACCCATAGTGACTCTGTATAGGGTTTCCGAGGAGCAGCTGGTGAGCTTGAACCAT